GTCATCAGTGAAATCAATAGAAATGAACTCTAACCTCCAGAATTCTCTAAGCTTTCCCTCTATATTCTAGAAGACTAATTGTCCCTTGCATGAAAAATACTCAGAGTCCTGTCCAGCGTAATTTTTGGTAAAATGAATTTTCTAGAGCAAACGGTGCATGTTGCTAAACAGTTTGAAATCGAGTTCTAATTTTGCTATCTGCTAGCTTTTAGAATTTTCTGGATGCGCGGTTAAGAAAACACAAACGTGATCCGAGATGGAAAAGTTTCATTAATGCTCGAAGAGTTATGAGTGTGTCACTGCTCTATGCGGTCGGTCAGCAATTTGCTCTGACCTTTCGACAGTTGTACAACCGCTAGCGCATAATTGCTCCTACTTTCTGCGTCCTTGCTATTTCTTTGTTTGTATCGTGTGTAATACCTGCGTGATTCCTGCCTGACAGTGGCTGTCGGACGATTCTACCATTATTACGTGTACATATTATTCTGACCTACCATTAACCTTCTGCGTATATGCATTTAACGAGCCTGGAATGAAGGATCTAATCGGCTATGCATGCTGAAAAATTTTAATAATTGTCAATCTTATTCATGCAGACGAAACGCGCTGACTGTTAGTATAATCTTCGTCGCTTTTATTTGCATTTTATCTCAATAACGGAAATGTAAAAAATTATCTGGGATATGTCTCCCGAGATCCTGATCGACATGTAATGGCATAAACGATTAAATTTGAACATTAACTTGATGCGAAGAGCAGACTTCATTTACTGAGGACAAGTTTTACTTTAGAAAGTCTAAAGGATGTAGTGAGCAGCCCCAGTTTCAGACAACCCCACATAGTCGTTGGTCATGGCGAACGATGAACGGAAACAGACAGGTAACTCTTTGTTTAATGTCCAGTTTAAATTAATAATTCTGTGTTTGCCAAGAATGTACTGTTCGAAACGTATGCGGTCGAGTCTTTCCAGTTTCGACATTCCATTGAAACCATTGAATTAAAAGACTCCTGCTTGATTAGGAATCTTATCTTATATTTTAACATGTTCCCACTGCACGTCCTGATTACTGTATAAAATCGAAACCCTGCATTTCTGTCTCAGACGGTAGAGCAGGTATATATCGAAGTACAAATGCATGATGGTAAAACATAATATGCATAATTTTTAGCTGACATGATAGTTTCGAACGTCCGTCATTAACCGTGAAACAGGCTACTAACAAAACTTGGTTTGTAGCTTAAGGTAGTAGGACTCTTTATGACTTTTCATATAGACCTATTAAAGAGAAAGATGTTTCAAACAGATCGCGGAAGAGTGGTTTTGTCTGTCCATCTATGGTAATTTCCAGAAAAGTATAAAACTTCTGCTCATTTATCCTTCCATCTGAGCAAAGAATGATAATTGACAAGTAACACAGACGGAAGATTGGGGCGAAGTTTCATGAATTGGTGAATTATTTCAGAAAATGGTCAGAAAATCACATCCTCGTATCACGTAAATGATCCGTGCTATATTATAACTGTCAATTTCTTTGAGGACCGTACCCAGAAATTTCAGTCATTCAAACATTAAGTGGCAGCGAAGGCAGATTTAATCAGCGACGTAGAAGTTAGCAACTGAAACACCCTGAAAGTTAAAGAATTTTAGAGTTGAAGGCTAGAAGAGATGTCCATCTTGAACAGATGGAACATATACCTGAACAGGGGTCGTCTGTAACTCGTTGAAGTTTTTTTTTCAAATCGAACCATGGACTTATTCCGTAATTCATTTAAGAGAACAGGTCAGTCATCCGCATGA